ACCGTCTATCCGGCCTCGCGCGTGCCTGCGCCGCGGATCGCTCCCTTTTCGGCATGTCGTTGCATGTCCAGAACCCAGTGTCGAGAGCGAAGGCGCGAGTGGTGACACGCCCGCCACCTTTGAGCACCCTGCGTCCCCACCAGACATGATCGTCCCCCACCAGACATCGAAGTCAAAATGTCAAAAGACACCCTCTAGGGGACTGGGCAAGTGGGCTGCCACACTCACAAAGATGCAGAAAAAGGGGACACCGGCGTGACGTGGCCTCTCGACGGGTTTGTTGAAGCAGAACTTGGTTCGGCGCACGAGGCACGAGCGAGCACGCACACACGAAATAAAGGTTAAGCGGGAGGATTGAATTCGTATCTCAGGGCAACCTTTTAGTGTACTAGTATCTAGACCGTATAGTGACCGGCGCGCAGCGCCGAAGAAAATTTTGGCAGAAATCGCTTACAGAAATCGGCTGCTGGCTCGCCCGATTTCCCTCGCCGAAACAGAAATCGGCTGCTGGATGCCGACGCCCCGATTTCTATCGCCACGCCTCGCACTGTATCCTTTTATTTTTCGATTTCTATATACTCTAGCGCCCAGCCCTCAAATCAAAACATTGCTATACACCCAGCGTGGACTCACACGTGTGTCTCACGAATTCATCCCACGAATACTCGCGAGGGAGAAGCCAGCAGGCAAGCTGTGAGCCGACCCGCGCCACACCGATCGACACCGAGCACAGCACGGCGCAGCGGCGGGCCGGCGGCCTGTCCCGGTCGAGAGAGGGCAGGGGCAGGGGATGCACCTGTTGCGCTTTGTGCACCCTCCCTGCCGCTCAATCGCGCAACATGCGCGCCCGGCCGCTTCAGGCGGCGGCGGCGGCGCGCAGGCCGGGAGGGGTGCCGCTCTGCGGCGTCGGCTCTGCCGCGGCCGTCGCGCTCGTGCCGGCCGCCGGACCAAGGCACTGCGGGAGGGAGAGACTGCCAGTGAAGCTCGACAGCGCCCGCCGCGCGAGCGGGCCCCACACGGTCGGGGGCTCCACCTCCTCCACGTCGGACTCGGCGAGCGCCTCATCATACATGGTGGACATTGTGAAGTCCAGCTCGTCAACCGAATCGGTGGCGCTCATGCTCCGCTGCTTGGCGGACCCAAGGATCGCACTCGTGCGCTCCGACGTGTCGTCGTCCGCTGCGAGGTCGCAGGCGTCGCTACCGTTGAGGTCGCAGGCGTCGCTGCCGTTGCTTGGGCTGGAGGCGTCGGCG